GACAGGGCCCTGAGCAACCTGATCTAGTTGGAGATATCCCTGTTCCTTGCAGGGGGGTTGGACTAGATGACCTTTGAAGGTCCCTTCCAGCCCTAACCATTCTATGATTCTATGATTCTATGATTCAAATTTATTTGGGTTACTATTTGTTAGCGTTTTTATTAAGTTAAAAAATAACACTTCTGAGAGGAAGTTTAAAATAAAAAAAAAAAACATAAATAAAACATAGTATAGAGTTTTTTTGGGGGTAGTTTACACGAAATACCTTAACTTTCTGAATACTCCAGTTACTGGAATAGCTGGTTTCCAGTTATTTAAATCCTTCAACGTTTAATAATTATTGTCTCAGACCCAACATTTATTCCTGGAAAACAAATCCACCTGCTTTTTCATGTCTTGATTGGTATCTTTACTTATAATGAACTAGCCAAAGAAATAAAAAATTGACTTCTTCTGCACCTGCAGGGGAGACTGCTGCTGACAAAAGCTGTTTTAACTTAAATTACACCCATGGTCAGTTTTGTCAGATATGGTAGATGCAGATCTCTCTGCATCGTCCCTTGACACATCACACAGTTAATGCAGCATCTTTTCCTCTGGCTTCAGTAAGTTTAACCTTGCCATTCACAGCTGTGCTCAGAATGCCCTTACCATTCCAGGTGAATTGTCCTGTTGCTCCTCCCAGCCTGTCCCTCTGACCAAGAAAGTCCTCATTTTACCTCTCCAGCTGCTTCGAAATTTTCTGAAGGATCTTACTTATGCTTAAATATTTGCTGCCAAGATCCTTCAGGGACTTCATCCATCCCACGTACCACACAGAACTGAAAAGTCTTTCACTTCTAAGCAAAACATATCAGCATTTTTTGCCTTCTGCTTATCTGCAAACAACCACTTTCACACATTCACTCAAGCTATTGCTCTTAGAAGACATTCCCCAAGCATACGTGCAACTCTTTCTTGATCATCTAAGTGTCTTCCCTTAATGTCTTTTTAATTTTAGTGTCCTCATAACCAGTGAAAACAGTCAGGTTGCTGCTTCACTAGTTCCTTATATGCTGCCTCTATCATAAATACTGCCCAACTTTATAAAAATATGAGTATGTGCATGTTCCTGATTCAAGCCAAATCTGTACGATGATTTGCTAGTCCACAGGTCCAGTATTACTGATTGTACAGCAATGGCCATAGGCATATAAGTAACAATGTAAATTAATAATAAACAACTAATTACACAAAATAACACTAAACAACTAGTATTAGATGCACCACACCACACAAAAGGTCCCTTTTGCCCATAATCCTTCATCTGACAGTGGCCTTGTATTGATGTCTGGAGAAGAATAAAGCAGGACAAACATATATAGAGAGTAGTATTTCAGCTTCCAACTAATTTCAGCATAAGAACATCCTGAATCAGACAATAGTTTTGATTTCTCTAGTAACTATCATTTCTCCTCTGCACGTGACCAGTGTCACCTAGAATGCAGAGTGTAAAGTTTTAGCATCTGCAGCCACCTTTGCAACGAGTTCCTCAGGTCTGCCAGCCTCCAGTGTGAAGAGGTGCCTCCTGTATTTAGACAGAAATCTTCTACCAACTTCATACAATGTCCTGTAGATCTTGTAGTGGAAGAGACAACAAATAGTTTCACCAGAACTGCACAGAGGTCTCAGATGACAGCAAACCACAGCTTTATGCAGTGGCATACTGAGGTTCTTTCTGTTGGCTTTCTGTTCACTTCCAAATAATCTCTAGTACTTGATTTGCTTTCTGATCACTGAAAAATAAGCTAATGGAACAATCTTTCATGGAACTATCACTTATAACCCCAAGATCTTGCTCCTAAGGGATAATAGTTAGCTTGGTCTTAAAAAAAGGAAAATATTTTCCTTTCAGATTGAAAATCCCACAAAAGCCTCAGGAATGCATCTTAAATGACAATGCTATACTAAGAAAGTGATTTATTATTATTATAATTTAAAAAGAGCTTGGAATTAAAAATGGAGTGAAGAGCCTTAAATCTTTTCATGGAGGACAAATCTAGGAAGATCATCCACTGTTTCTATCATTTTCCTATACTTTTGTGCTTAAGCAGAAATGTCTGTTCAAGTGGCATGTGCATTATTATTTTAGAGAAAGAAGCAGGGCTTCACATTTCTCACTGAAGTGAGAATTTTTAGAATTAATTTCTGAACTATGCTTACAGACAGTCTTAAGTTACTTTTCTGGGAACGCAGAATAACTGTTTTACATTTAGCAAGGTTTAGCTTCATTAAGTTTCCTTAATAAAACACAGTTTTGTAAAGATATAAACAACCAAGTTGAAACATCCATATTAACTTATTCTGAGAGCAAACTACCTGCAACAACATTCTGATATGACAGCATTTTACACCCGCTCCACAGTTTGCACAGTTACAAGAAGAGGAGTTTAGGCAGAAGATCACAGGACAGTTTTACCATCATGTATTTTTGTAAACATCACTCGCATTAAATTTGTTTTTTTTCTTTGTTTTCCCCTCTCTCTGAAATCTTCTCAAAGTAGTAGAATGATCCTTTTCAAAAAGAGAGACCTATCGCTGCTTTGAGAGAGATCTTGGTAAACCCCCAAATGTGACAGACACTTCAATGCACATAAGCAGGACAATACTTTCAAAATCAATTCGCTCAAAATTATAAATATGATCAAGCGCTCTCTTGGATTAGGACCCCACAGACAATTTATAGCCTTGGCTCCTACAGCTCACTGCATTTTTACTTCAAACCACTTCAGCTCAGCCACACAGTAACAACAAAAGTTTTGAAATGTTATCTGCCCAGAAACAAAATCATTCCATTCTATTTTTCTAAGATGAAGACGGCAAATGATAATTTAAAAAGGTAAGATCTGTCATACAGACCCTTCCCTACTTCTCTCTTGAAAGTATGTGTGTATATATATATTTAACTTGGATAGAATCCAGAGAATGGATCGAGAGCAGCCCTGAGGAAAAGGACTTGGGAGTGCTGGTGGATGAGAAGCTCAACATGAGCCGGCAATGTGTGCTGGCAGCCCAGAAAGCCAACCGTGTCCTGGGCTGCATCAAAAGAAGTGTGGCCAGCAGGTCGAGGGAGGTAATTCTGCCCCTCTACTATGCTCTTGTGAGACCCCACCTGGAACACTGCGTTTAGCTCTGGAGTCCCCAGCACAAGAAGGACATGGAGCTGCTGGAGCGGGTCCAGAGGAGGGCCACGAAGATGATCCGAGGGCTGGAGCACCTCTGCTATGAAGACAGGCTGAGAGAGTTGGGTCTGTCAGCCTGGAGAAGAGAAGGCTCTGGGGTGATCTTATAGCAGCTTTCCAGTACTTAAAGGGGGCCTAAAATGTAAAGAATGGATGAGGCTTTGGGCAACCTGGTGTAGTGGAGGGTTTCCCTGCCCATGGCAGGGGGGTTGGAACTAGATGATCTTTGAGGTCCCTTCCAACCCGAACCATTCTATGATTCTATGACTTGTACAATGTCCTTTACTTGTAGCCCATTCTTGCACTGTGAATAGTCTGGATCAAGTTCATGGGACTATTTGTTGTGAATCTAAAACTTTGCTCAATCTGTCAAGATAACTATGAGTTGAGATGAAGAGAAAGTCCCAGAAATCTGTATACGCTGGCTCTCAAAACAGATTATTAAGTTAACTAATAAGATTTTTAATATTTGAAGACAGAAACAATGTTTTCATAAGGGTTGGTTTGGTTTTTTTTGAGACTAAGTCAAAGTCATGCAAGTCCTCTATATAAAAAATTCCACCAAAAAAAAGATAAAGAATGAGGTACACTAGGCATGTTCTTTGACTTACTGAAAACAACCCAAAATGTTCTCAGACAAAACAGAACCCAAGAGAAAAAGACACAGAGAAATGTTCCTTCAATACCTTAGATGACTAGTAATGGTGACCACTTTCAAGCATACAATGCAGGTTAAACAATATACTGCAGTCACCAGATGGGTCACCCACAAAAGGAAAGTAGGGTCAACCTGTAAAACCTCTCTGAGTGGTGCCACTGACGTATTTATTATTGGCAAATCAAACCATTGTGACAAGATAAGAATCAGATGACAACGTTTGTTTTATTTTTTGTCTGGAGACAAGATTTTAAATAGATTAAAAAAAAATATTTTTTTTTTCCATAATATTTCTGGAGGAAAAGAATTTGCTTTGAGAGATACAAAATGACTTTTTTTCAGGTTGCTGGATTAAAAAAAGCACAACAACTAACCATCTATAAAAGACTGCTCATGCTGGGAAGCCTATTTTTTTTTTTCTTCTAACAGCTCCCAAGAAAGATAAAGCCTGAAGAGAAACCTCCCCTTGCATTTCTATGGCTGGAAATTGTTTTCTCTGAAATGCAGGCTGATTGCACCACTAGGAATGCAAGGCTTTGTGTAAAAATATACAGTTGAAGGTAACACTACATGCAGCCTCCGAACCAAAAAAAGTAGACAAATCATAAAGGACATATAAAGCCTTCCTGAATTTATTCCTTAGAGGCACAGTAGAAATTTCTATGTTGGGCCCATTAATGTCTCATAAAACATTACAATATGTTCTTAGAACATAAGATTAAAAAAAAAAGTAAAAGCTCATTTTACTCATCAGAACATTCTATATGTGGTAACTGATATAAATCTATGATGCAATTAAATTTGCCCTAGAACAATTCTTGAAGTCTCAAAGTTTATTTTACTTCTTTTAAAAAATAAGTCTGTTACTGCCATGATTAAAAATGCCAGGCCACTATATGACACATTTGTTTTTGCTTTTCCAAAAATTAATAATATTTTTCCTTAAAAAATATAATCCTTAGGTGATAATGAATAAAAAACCCCACAGCATCATTTTTAATCGTGAAACAAGTACTTGTTGATGTGACTAAAATTCCCTAAGTATCCAATTCCTTCAAGATATCTGTAAGAAAAAGCATATAGTTATAGAAACTTTGGTGGCCATCTAGTTGTTTACTCACCCATTTCCTGTCTGGTACTGCAGATTCCTGTCCCATATTTTTGTAACTCTATGGTCACAGTTTTCAAAGCATTAACATCCGTTTCTGCAAAGCCGAGGTAGTTATAAGAACCCATATTGATTACATTCTTGATAGTCCTTCCTGTAAACCTATAATTAAAGCAAATTTTAAAGAATAGTGCAACTTTCCCTCCAACCTCAAACAAAAAGAAAGTAAAACCCCCAAAATTTTCCCATCAAATTTTCTTCCACTCTCAAATTCCTATTTGGGAATTTACAATCTTCATACTTTAACATCCTAAAAGATTTTCCAGCCTTTCTATTTTCCAGACTAAATACTGCCTCCTGCTCAGAATGTTCTCCAGATTCCAAGCTGACAATAGATGACAATATACTGGTATTAGGCGAAATGGTGCTTTTAGGGATGTAAATAAACAAACAAAGCTAGGACTTTACATAGGGAACAACTTAAAGACACTATTTTTTTTCAAGTAAATTGTCAACAGCTTCCAGAAAGTCCTGAGTGTGGGAAACATTATGAAACATTCTCAATAAACTGAAATATAGCCAAGCTACACACTATGTGGCAAATTTCCATATCAATTTAACTCAGCAATAGTTGCAGTACACTGAAATCTTCAAGCTGTAAACTGCTTAACATTCACTGCTAAAGACTTACTAAGTAAGTAAGAAGCCACATATATGCAATGCAAGAAATTATGATTTAAATCCTAACCAAGGGATATCACAAATTTCATTTTAATATTCCGACAAAAGGTCCGTCATTACAAATGAAGCGCAAGTGGTCTTGTGCTGACACAGCCAAACAAAATTCCTTTACAACAAGAGTTCGGTTCCTTCCATACTGCATTTCCAAACAATATTCAGAAGAAAGAGGACAGGCTGTCAGCACAGTACTGATTTCAGAAAAAACCATGCTGATGTATATTAGTCAAAGCTCTAGGTATGAGGGGCTAGATGCAACTTTCTGTGCTTTACAGATGTATCAGGAGTATTCTTACGAAGCTGACAGCTGTGGAGTGTAAGCTGACTCACCTAAATGTCCAGTTGTAATCATCTGTAATGCGTTCCATGAGGTCAAACTGTGGCCCTGGGACACTGCATATTGGACGGTTCCAGTTATCCCGTATTCTCATATAGAGGTTTCTGGTGTAAAAGTTCTCAAAATCTTGATAAAGTGGCACAAAATCCTGGTTTGAAAACATGCACAGGGTTATATTGCTAGGAAAGCGTCTGCTTCTGTACTCAATCAAGTCATTCCCATTAAAAAGGAAAAATTGATTCATAAGTAAACAAAGAACTATGAGCGCCACATGTTCCTATGTCACAAACAACTCAAATCAGCAAATATCTTACTTTAATTCCCTTGAAACAGTGTTGGCTTTTTTAGGGGCTGGGGTTTTTTTGTAGGGTTTTGGGTTTTTTTTGAAGGGTCAATAAGTTGGCCTAATTCTCAAGTCCAATACTTGGAAAGCTGGAAATGGAAGAACCCACGATTCTTTCACTTGGAGAAACCAAATGCTTCAAATTGAACATCTCTCTACATGTGGAGCAGATTGCAAAACTAGGATAAACAACTCCTTATATTTCATGAAATGCCGGATACATTAGATTAAAGCTAGTCCAGTGTAATTGGTCCGGGCATTATTGACCTAGACTGGATGTGCAAACAGCCGGTTAAAAGACAACCAGTTTGACTGACAATTAATTAATTTTTATCTATGGATTTTACTTAGAAATTAAATTAAAAGAAAGGTATGGAGTCTAAACAAAGTTTTATACAAAACAGCGATGAAGCCATATTAGACACTGGATAAAATAAACTGATAAAATAACACAGCATGTCGTTACACATGCAGAAGACTGGAGAGTTAAATGAACACATAATCCACGGTGAATGGTAAAAAGATTTAATTGGCATGTCTGGAATCAAAATAGCTCAACAAATGGCCAAATCATGAAATGAATTGAAAAGGATACTCCAGGAGAATGCTGATAAAAAGACTGCACCCTGATACTTCATTAAGTAGTACACGCATCTTTGAAAAGTCAAAACAGGAAACAATTTTTGGAATTTTGTTTGTAAGAGGAACAGTAACACCATTTGCATTTCTCCTCCATTATGCCAAGTGTTACTGTAAACGATGGCTCAAACTGCAAAAAAGAAGGAGCAACAAAAAAATCTAAACAAAGTTAGAAGGCAATTGAGCTTGCTGAGGGGCAAGTTTCACTTAGAACTATGTGGGATGAAAAAATTTTTAAGTCAGGACTTGCAAGAATTCAGGCTACATTCACTTTGTGCTGGGACAATGGTTCCTGAGTGCTCTGTGACCAGCAGTTCAGCAAACATAAGTCAGCAATTACAAAGACTTAGCACTGCCTATCCCTAGGAAGGACAAAGGAAGACAGCCAGATGGGAGAAAGACAAATTGATGCTTAAGAGATTTGAAGAGATGATATATTTAACAATAAGGCATGTCTGAGTTTTCTTTTCCTGTGCATTGACCTAATACACTGAGATTCTATTTTGCTGAGAGTATTCTGACACTCTTAGAACAAGGTGAACATCCCTCTGCGTGAAAATTATGATTTTTACATATATATACAGGTACATATTCATAAACATGCGTTTAACTATATGGCAGTGTGTGTCATTCCTCTCATCCCTATGCAATGTTCTTCTCCAAGATGAAAGCTGTCTGCCTTGTTACTCCAGTATCGTACATAACTTGCAAGCAGGGGAAAACTCAGCTGTGGATACACGATGTCTTTTTCATACATACTTTTTGTTGTTCTCTCTCTGCAGCAACGTTACGTTTTTCTAGTCCCCAGGCTCTCATAAAATCTCGCAGGTAGCCAAATATTGTTCCCACTCCAAAACCCACGAATGTAAGAACAGCAACATACATTGGTGCCTGTTCAAAGTGCTCGATAAATGTTTTTTTGTAGAGAGTTCCATTTGATATGCCATTCTTCTGAAAATATAGAACAGAAACTTGGGATTAATACACTTCATCTCATCAAAGCTTAGACCTTGAGGCAAATCTTTATCTCTAATACGCCACAAATTAGGAGAGACGTTTAGACCTCACACTGTATCAGCTGATGCAACCTATACCTGAAGAGGAAGACCTTTATCACGGCAGTTGTTACTGACCACTACAAGTATCTTCCATTTTCTCTCCTCTCCACCAATGCCCTCAATTACAGGTGTCTTCAACACCACTCCCTTGTCTATTTTGAAACATGTGAAACTCATGAAAGATTGGCAACATATTATTGTGTAATTGGACAATTATTTCAAAGGTGATTAAATGGAAACCACAATACTCCGTTCTTGCAAGACAGAGCTATAAAAAGGGAAGGGCAGCATTAAAAACTCACCTACACTGTGCCTGACTCTGCTTCTGGAAGTCTTGTGTAACTAATTGCAGCAACTAACCCATATGCAACAAATCCTTTCTAAAATAGGGCACCTTTACCATGATGTCCTTCAGATCTGAGGATCCAAACCAGTTAGGATCCCAGTCTTCTATTTCTGTTCTGATTTCACAAATGTTTCTAATCATATTTTCAGTGACCTCTTCCATAGTTTTAAGGGTACTCAAGAAAAAAAAAAAAAAGGAGCAGAGACACACAGACATCTGCCTGTTGGAATTAGTGGTCCTATTCTGAGCAACTTCTAGAAATTTACAACCATGTGTGGACAAAATATTCTAAAATTTCCATTTTCAAATTCAAGAAGTGAAGTTTTTCAGTTGTAATCTTCTCAAATCAACCTATATTCAATAGGCTTATCAGATCATTCTTTGAAAGAGAGGTGACTTCCTTATTTCTGCAAAATATGATGGCATTTACGGTCACAGTCTAGTAACAGCCAGCCTGCCAATTCAAAAATAAAAAAACCTAATCCAGAAGAAATAGTGCCCACTGTGAAAAAAAAAAAAAAAGAAAGACACAGGACATACATTTCTGAGCCTATTATAAAGGAAGACTACCAATATATGAAGAAATACCATTAATACATTGCTGCCTGTGGGACGGATGAACTAAAAAAGTACATTATCTATTTACATAATGCAGTAAGTTGAAATAGAATAATAATTCCAAGAATAACTGCAAATTCACTGTACTTGTCAGACCTAGAGCATTATTGATCTTCATACTGCATTAAAATGCCTTTATCCTCAAAAGATTTTGATTTCAGCTGTCCAATCCTAGATTCACAAAATTTTCTTGGGAGAGAGAGAAAAAAAAATAAGTAAAAAAGATGTTTGGCTCAAAGTAGAATATAAAGATTTAGAAGGAAACCCAAAATGGAAAAAATTGCTGGTAGGGCTAAATAGAAACACATTTAGACTTTGGAAAGACTTACTGCCCTGTGAGAGAGAAGGAATGCAGGACTGGCCCTCACCATGTGAGGGTAGACCTTTGAAGCAATGCTACACACGCACTCCTCCCTCAAGATAATTGCTCTTTTAAGGCAACCTATTTACCATGAAAAATGTTTTATGAGGATGAGTTAAATACATGGTCAAGTCATATTTCACATGAGCCACAACAGCTGTGTGCACACAACAACAAGAAAAAGTAAGTACTTCATCGATGATTAAGCTCAGTCGTATTACCTTGCACTTGCCATGGGCTAAGAGCGTACTTATGGTCACCAGTGGCAATTCGATTGACGCTGGAGCTTGTCGAGCTGTGATGATGTGATAATGCACCTGAGCCCAGCGGAGAGGATTAGCGTGATGATTCTGTTTATCAACTTTATTAAGAAACACTTTGCTGTTATATATCTTATTGGTAAAGGAATAGGGAAGCTCATATCAGATTCGTGCCTTGCAAAACTCTTCTGCAATAAAACTCTTCTGTTGTGGAACTCTAATTTCAGCTGCTGCTGTTTTATGCAGTTGGTATGACATATGTATTTAAACATGTAACCACTGTCACCTACTATGCTTAACACAAACAGCTAGAGTAAATGTCATCAATAGTACGAAAGTACGAAGAATGCGGAGTCAGACTGCGACCCAAATTCTCCAGTCTATGAATGATGAAAACTAGGAGTCTTAAAAGAGTGCAAGGTTAGTACAAGGATGGGAGAATAAATTCAGAAAAATACAGTGACATCTTGTCTAAAAACTTAAATGAAGAAAACAAAGAGCATTTCATCCATCCCTAGAGTCCCACAAAAAAAGCAGAGAGAGTCTCAGAATTGGAATAACCAAACCAATTGGATTTGCTGCTTTTGGAAAGTGGTGATGTGAATGCTTTTGTGCAGCACTTCAAATCCAAGCACTGAGGTACAGGTGACTGACTTCATATCATGAGGAAGTTCAACAATTTCAGCCAACCTAAATGGTCAGTGGATGAATGGCTAATTGCCAATTTGCATCACATTACTGTTGACTTTTTACATGTTATCATAAAGTTTTATTTGAGAAGAAAGAGGTGGAATTTGAGACTGTGCATTTAAAGCACCTAGACAGTGAAGACAGATGTAATTAAGCTGTTGCTGGCCCAAAATCAAATACAGCAGATCTCCTACAAATGCCTGAAACGATTCAGAGATCACTAGTAACACTGGTTACACACTGGGTGCTCTGCTGAATTCTACACTTACAAGTATATTATCTGTAATAATACCAGTAGTAGACAGCACATTTTTTAGCTCCATATCTCAACTGTAGCAATCCTAAATAGCAGAAGATTAGGCAAAGATTCCAAAAACAAAAATAGAGAATGTTACTTTCCTCCATATATTCTCCCAACTTCCAGCAACTGGTGGCTTTGAGATTGCATTGTCACATTTAATAGTAATCAGGGGATAACTATGAATTTGTTCATCATTTCTGAACCCACAAATACTGTGGAAATGAATTGTGAATTTTGATAATTTATTTAATCTGTTATAAAAGTGTTTACTTTTTTAATTATAAAATTACCTGATAATTCTATTTGACAATTTTATTTGACCATTGTTGTCTGTTTAGCTTTCCTACTCAACCAATTACACTACTCATAATTTTCTGTACTTAAATGACTTCTGCCTCTCCACTTGTCTCTTCCCAAGCTGAAGAATCTTGATCTATTTAAATCTAGTCTAGTGTTCTTGCCCTTTCAGAGATTTAATAATAGTAAAAAAAAAAAATCTATATTTCAATGCTCAACTTTCTCTTCATTCTGCAAAGTTCAATAATATCTTTTTGAGATGCAGGGGAAGGGAATCGAAATTGCTTACACTTGAGGACACAGTATGGATTTATACATCTGCAAACAATGCTTTGTCTTGTTTTCTGTTGCTTTTTTTAAAGATTGTTAACATTCTATTTGCCTCCTTGCCACAGTTCTCAGTTTCAGGAATATCTCTTATGATTACAATATATCCTTCCTCAGTGGCAATAAATACCTAATTTAGAGCACACTATTTGTGCATTCTTATGACGATTTCTCCAGACTCATTCATTGCTGCTTATTTAGTGACCTGCAATTTTGTCTACTGTTTTATCAGCATTACACACTACCAACAAGAACTTTCTGCAGTGCTTGCTGTCCAGGACTAATTTTTCACTACTCAGAACAATTTGGTATTGTCAACACATATTGTCACCTATTTTTCCTTACCCCTTTTTCCAGACCATTGGTGAAAACATGAGAGAGCACAGGTCCAATAAGAGATCCTTGGGGAACTCCATTCCCAGCATCTCCCTGGTCACCTTTTCAAAAATCATATCTTATTTGTAACCCTTCATTTCTGTGGCAAAAAGATCACCTCAACCAACTTAAGCAGTAGTCCAGAGCTACTCAGCAATTTAATGTTTGGCTTCCTTTAGAAATCTTGAGTAAATCTCCTTTGTGATATACTAATCCCCACTTTATTGACTTGCTTTAAAAATTCTGCTGGCATTCTAAATCAAAATGATTTCTCAGTAGTCTGTCACAGAATAAAGATAATTTCCAGGCACAAATGCAAGGAATCCACTAACGCAATGTATAGACATCCAATGCAGAAAGGCTATAGATGAAATTCAAAATGAACGGCTGTTTTGCCATGGAGTTTGACAAATTTAGAATTTCATTGACTTCACAGAAACCAAAGGCGCAATGAGGATTATAATATGCAATTTCTGTGTGTTGAGTCTCTTCTTAGCTTATTAATCAGGCTGCCTTGTACTCTCTCTCGATACCCAAGGTAACACTGGCAGCTCAGCCTCACAACTCTGTCTGTAGCACAGTTACAGAGAACCCATGTCCGCAGATTTGGTAGCAGCCTTAAACCACAGCTTCAAATTGGTTCCAGTAAGACACTCGCAGCAAGAGAATTCCTGGGCAAGATTTTGGTGCCAAGGAAGTCAACAGAAGTGATGTCAATGCAGTAAAGTCAGTTTTAAGTGCAATACCTCTTAGATCTCCATATTCTGTAGTTATCCAAAGTACTTTGAAACTCCCCCCTAATGAAGAATCCCCTCCTAAACGCCTTCAGCTTTTAAAATGCAGAAACGAACACTAACAACAAATCTAACAGTGCTATCAGAATGGGCACCAGTATAAAACACCAAATACAGTTTTAATTAACATAATTTTAATCAAAATAGCTTGCTGTAATAATACTGTAAACTAACCTCGCAGTCTATTAAGCACATTCCTGGCAACACTTTATAAGGAATAGTTACAAAACATGATATTTGCATCAGCAAAGAAAAATAAAAGATAGCTATGCAACAGCATGAATAATACTTAAATATTTGTTCATACTACCCTTAAAGTGAGGAGAGAATCTTTCATTGCTTTTAGGTCTTGTAGCCTCTGGAATAGTGCTAGTTAGCATGAGCCAGATTTGTATCAAGGGGAGAGCTAGAAATTGAACAGCATAGACATAATGTCACAGTACTAAACGTGTGTGCTGGTCCTGATTAATTTACCAGCAAAGAGCTAATCATTTATGCTGGCATAAGTTAGGAGTAAACCTGTG